TGATAGTGTTTATTCCCTCCTAGACTCCGGCTGTCAATCATACCATCGTCCAGTTTCAGTTTGAATGATACCCTGGTGCTCCCTCCCAACCCAGTATTTATTTATATAATGAAATTATATGAAATGGAGAAATGAAATATATCAGAACATTAAAATATGACATAGTGAAATACATTTATATGGATAATATAGTTGCTACTGCAATGAAGAAGTATTTTAAATATAATACGATGCAGCTCTATACCTCCTGAGCTCACAATGGCAGGTGCATGTAACACTGAAATGTATAGGATATATTAAGCAATTGAATATATTTTGCTCGAATGATACTAATAATAATGCTAAAAATTGTGATGAATAACTAGAATAATGAATATTAATTTGTGTAGATAAAATAGTTGATATTCTGCAATGAAAAAAAAATACATATTTTACATATAATAAGATGCATCTCTATGTTTCTTCTGCTCACAATATCAAGTGGATGTAGCACTGAAATTTCAAGGTTATATTAAACAAATATATATTTTGATCTTGAATTATACTTGATATTCTCTCCTTACAATAATGTAAGGATGTAAATGTAAAGTGTGAAGTATAACTAACAAGACTAACAATAAAATGGGAATCTCGTCTAAATGAGAAATAACCTGTATAAAATTTAAGCATATAATGTTATGCATTGTTGTTGCTTTCACTGCTTCATCCGCTAAATTTTAATTTCGATAAGTAATGCAAAACAATATAAATATATAATTGTTCCAGCTAATATTGGTCATTAGGTAGAACTTTTAGTAGTCTGCAGAAGGTTAATTATTTTATTGTTGGTCTTTTTATGATCTATCAACGAAAAGCTGAACTAAACATGAATAATTGATATCGATGAATCCAGTATTTCAGATATGTTTTGAATTTCTTTTGAATGGATAGATTATCCTTGTTTTATTTGAAATTCAACATTGTTTGGTCCATGAAGGAGTATGCTGTTGAAGTGAATAATGAAATGAAAATAATTAAATTCAATATGTGTCTCCGTTAGATCAACCGGTAAAGGCATAGATATCAAGCAACGACAAGCAATGACTTTAAAAACGCAAACGTCACGAAAAGTGGAAGGAGTGTAAGTTTACCTCATTTAAGTTAAAATACTGAATAGTTTGAAATGCATAAATAGAATTTAATGATATAACATGATAAACAATGATAACAATCTAAAAAGATATAGGAATTCAATTTAATAAATGAAATATATAATAATGTATATTAAATTCATTCAACTATAACTCTATATTGGATCATCGGTTGGGATGATGATGATGATGATCATCGCGTTAGGGAGATATATAGTAAAGGAGGATTGATTGTAACCGTAGGAAGTTTAATATAATAATATGGAGTCAAGATCCTGATTCCCGAATTAATTTTGTCTCAATAACAGGAATTCCTGAAACCAAAAATGAACAATTTTGCGTACTATTATTAAAATAATATTCAAATGTAATATTTTTAAGAGGCCGGACGTAGACTGAAAAAAAAGTAAATTATTTAACAACCACTGGTTTACGTATCATCAACAAAGAGCTTGAAAACAAGTCAATGATTGAAGAAAATATGCTGAGAATTCCTTTGCTGATGATGAAATGGAACTATCACTCATTGTAGCAGGACGCCTGTCATTAGCTGTGGGCTGTCCTCACTGTTAGAGTTGATTAATCTTAATAACCTCTAATTGTACTCAACCTACTATTCATGCCTTTTGTAGTTCCTCAATGACAAATCTTACCTTACCAACTACGGATTTTACCTGTACATGAAAGACCTTACACACACACACACACACACACGCACGCGCGCAACTGACAGTGCAACATTACAGACAGCCTTCCGCACACCGTTGTTGCATCAACACCGTCGCGCTAAACACACATTCTGCTAACCACTTTGTCATTGCATGGTGAACTCCTCCAACGAGTCAGCATTGCATAGCAACCATAGCAACAACTGAATCCACCAATATAAAAACATGCATCCATTTCTATATGTGTGCATAAACAAACGCCTATCACCCGCACATTTTTTACCACAGTTCTTCCGTTTTCTTGTGATAGTGATTCTACGTTTTAGAATTTTACCACCACAACTTAGCATGCACAATCCAACACATTTGCAGCTTTCCACATTTCTCACTTTTGTGAAACGCCGGCGAGGCATAAAAAGAGGGGAAAATCATCGCATTCTTCGGGACACTTCTCTTCTTCACTCTTATGTATGCGTGAGCGTATGGGAAGACAAAGGCCTGCCCACGATTTTCGTCGCACATTTTTTCGATTGCACTTTTCATTAACTTTTAACTTTAAATAAACGCTCATTTCCTCTATCTGAGGAACCACAAGCGACAGCATACATTCAAAACGTTACACTTGCATTTACAATACTTTTTTTTTCCAAAAATATATAAAGAACAGTTAACTAAACAGAAAAAGAAAATGGACCGATACCGAAACACATTTGCCCCCGACGAAGGCAACCGCGGAACTGACAATAACGACAAACTATATTTTCACTTGAAAAAGGCCACAACCCATCGTAGTCGTTGCAGTGTTTTAAGGCTTAGAATGCCGTTAATCAAAACAAAATGTTAGCTTTTGTACAATGATCGGAAAATTCCGGAAGAAAACTCCGGGGAATGTTTGACTTAGCTTCTGAACGAAACACACAAAAAAAACATCTAGAGAAAGAAGAAAAAGCTCTCCTGGATGAAGTTCGAGGAAAGTTCTAAGAAAAGTTGGAAAAACATCTGGGAAACTTCTAAGACACGAATTGAGAAACTTAGTGGCGATAATTTAAATAAACTATCGGAAACAAAAATCGAATGTCACATCTAAAGGAAGCCAGAAAAGTTTCGGAAACCGGAAGTAAATTTTCAAAAGTAGACATTTCCAGGAAAAGCCAGAAGAAGCTCGGAAAAACCTTCCAATAGAAGTCGAACAAAAAAAAACCCTTTGGATTATGGTCAAACTTCCAGAAGATGAAAAAAAAATTATGGGAGAATTAATTGAACTTCCTGGAGACGCTGGCAGAAACTTCCTAAGGTAGATTGGAAGAAACATCTGAAGAAAGTCGGAAGCCAGAGCGCTTACGGAACAGTCGAAAGAAACAAGGACATAATTCCGGAAGAAAGAGATTCCTGGGGGATGTTCTAATGATCCAGAAAATTTTCCTGATATTCATAAAACATCCCAGAAGACTTCGCAATTTCCCTGAATTTTTCGGAACATTCCTGAAATCCACTTAGGAATATTCCATAATTCCTCGAAATTCCTTAAAAGTTCTTGTAATCTTCCTGAAATTAGGGGTTGTTTAGGAGTTCTCTGGTCATTCTCGAAGTGCTCGGAACTTCCCTGATTATAAAAAGACTACCGGAATCGGAATATCTCTAATCATCTTTGAAGGTCTCTGGACTTTCTCTCACAATTCTCTCCAATTTATTGTAACATCAGCATTGAAGTTCTCAGATCTTCCCGATTTTTTTTTTTATTTTTAAAAGTTATCGACACTGCCATTAAACAGCATAGAACTTTCCATAAAATGTTCTCACAATGTTCTAATGTTCATGTAACTTCCCTTACGTTTCCTAAATTTGCATGAGCCCCTCTGGACATTGCTGAAGTTTCCGGAACTCCTTTATAATTTCAGCAATTTAATTAATTAATTCAGGCATAACATTTGATAACGACACAAAAGCATTTGTAAACAAACTTTCTAAGGCCCTTTACTGCCGCTCTTCGCATGTCCGTCCCATAGCGAAAATCGGCAAGCCGAGAAAATCGCGTTTTAAGTTTGCTTCGTACCATTGCTTCTTATGTGATGGGACAACCAAAGTGACTGTCTTTCCAAACTTTTTCAGAGCAAAGTTGATGAGTTCATCCAGTATTATGAAAATATGGGTAGTTCATAGGCGTAGCCAGATAGGGGCAGGGGGGGGGGCGACTGCCCCCCCCTAAACTCGGCAACACAAAGGCTTTCGAGGAAATGGCGTTCGGTGAAATGGCATTCGGCCAAATTTTCCATGGTAATTTTTTTTTCGCCCCTCCCTAGCTCGAAACCTGGCTACGCCCTTGGGTAGTTTGCTACCATTTGCATTGAAAAACTCAGTTTTGACTAAAACGACTATGGGATCGACATGCGAAAAGCGGCAGTTTAAACGCGAACCAAAGTACGCCCACGCAAACCAATACCACTTTCGGAAAGGTGATAGTTGCCCCTATCCGATGATGTTGTTGGTTTGCGTGGGCGTACTTTGGTTCCCATGTAAATGGCCTTAAAAAGTGTGTTTACAAATACTTGTGTGCCGTTATCAAATGTTATGCTTGAATTGATCTGTCCTGATGCTCTCTTAGCTTCACTAAAGTTCCGGTATAAATCGGTATAAAATCTTATAAATCGGTATTCTGAGGAACCTTATCTGTATATCGGTATCTAATTTGGCAATTGGTATAAGCTTAAAGCTGGGTTTAGACTAGGCAAGTCAAATGATCAACTCAGTTGAATTCAATTGGCTTGAAAAGTTGAGCCTGGTTCAACTTTTTTCAATTCAAGTGAGTTGATCAAGTTAGTTGAATGGCATGGTTTACACGTTCAATTCGCATTCAAGTCAGTTGAATTCAACTGACATGATCAATTGACTTGCCCTGTCTAAGCCCAGCTTTATTTGCACACCATCTATTCTATTTACTCAATTTCATGTGCAAAATGACTTTTGAACAACTTTTAGTTTGTAACCTCGGTTTGCACGGTGGTTCAAATTAAAGTATCAAGATTAAAAGCGGTCAGATTACCGGAGGTTCACGGTAATAGCTAATAGAGTAAGTGAATCAGTTTTTTTTTCAAGAGGTTCCCTAATTGGCCATAGCTAAATTTTCATTTTATCGTATATAAGTTACTTTCCTGTTGACCGAATAAGTAATTCCAAAAACTCTTCCTTTTTTGCCCGTATAAATCTGGTAACTGCGTCACTATGGCGAAACCCTCTACTTTTACACCTTGTGCGATTAATGGTAGATAATAATGTTGCTCTTTCCAAAAAAAAAAAATCACTTTATTTAAATTGAATAAATCACTTTACTTACCTTATACGTAGGTATACGCTTTTAACTTACTTACTCTTTCAGTTTGATTCTTGGGGTGCACTCACCCGATAGCACCTGTCCAAGGTGTCCAGCACCTCCTTGGCGTAGGTGCATTGCGCGATCTTTTCCAGCGGTTCGCCCTCGATGGACATACAAATCTCCTCAATCGCATCGCAGTCACGTTCACATCGGATCCGGTGCATTACCTCGCGGGTGCTTGAATCTTGCTCGACGAAATATTCCTCCTCCGGGGGCGTCCGGCGCAACGTGAAGATCAATCCAAGCTGGTCCAGGTGAGCCAGCAATCTTGTCCGCCATTTGTTGTAGGTGCGTTGTTTTTGTCCCTTGAAGACACCGACGCTGTGACGTAGTTTGGCCTTCTCCTTGGTGGACTCGTTGGGAACGATCGGGCAGGAAGCAGCATCCGTGAACTGTTTCATTTCCGCTTTCGTCTTGCACGTTTTGTGGATGGACGACGGGTGCTTGAAGCTGGAGGAGCTCATGCTATAGGCCAGCGGGGAATCTTCTTCAACAAGCGGTCGCGGTAGTTTAAGATTTGAATGGTATTAGGATAGATATTATAATCCACATATACATCACAATGTCATGTATGCGCACTCTCTACCCCATTCTAGTCAAAATTCTAGTACTACACAATGTTTGTTTTGATTCGGTATGAAAGTTTGACATGAGGGGTTCGTGGATTTTCATACACGGCGAATGAGAACTACCCAAATTTGAGTTTAGTTCACTCATAATCGCCAAAAGTACAGGAACTCAGCGATGAGTAAATTTGCCTCATGTTTTCCCAGGTTTTTCCAGGGAAAAAATCCCGAATTTGAGAAAATTAAGGATTGGATTCACTCAGTCTATTGGTACTACTCCGAGACTGAATAAAATTTTCGTCAATTTCCTCATTTTCCGGCAGATTTTTTAGGTTTTCCACAGGAAATCATAAGACAAATTTAACTCATCGCTGCGTTCCTGCACTTTTGGCGATTATGAGTGAACTAAGGCTCTGAACCATTTGGTGGATTATTTTAGCTTTTGGTTAAAATTTGACAGATGGAAAGTTATCGATTAACCCTGCTATCCGAGCGTGATTATTTCTGACAGACAATTGTTAAGAAGTTAAATTTTGACGACCGTGGCTCGAAGACCGGTCGATCGACAGCACGGGGATTTTCGAACATAAGAAATAACTTTCGAAATGTCACTTTTAACTACGAGTTAAATTTAACTCGGCAAATGGTTCACAGCCTAAACTCAAATTTGGGTCGTTCTCATTCGCCGTGTATGTTTTGAGAAGTACATCGATTATCTTACCTCTCGAAAGAAGGGGAAATGTATGTCAAACTGAGTAAAAGCCACTCAGTCAGCAAAATCCTGGGATTGGAAAAAATGCCAGTCATGTCGGAGGAAACCTCATAGAAAATGTTACTCAAAACCGGCTGAAATGCCTTCAGGTAAGTACGAATTGCTTAGGGAAACGGTGTTGAACCGTTTTTTGATCCGGTAGAATGAATCCGGAGCAAGCAATTTCCATTTCCTTGAATAAAAATCAAAACAAAAACCCTCCCCGCAACTGAAAATACCGGCGAGTGGATTTGACTCAGTCTACGTGAGAACGTAGTTTACTCAAAAGTGAGTCAACATAAGGCTACTCAATTTTGAGTAGCCATACTTGCCGCTGAGATGAGTACATTCGACTCAATTTTGAGTTGACCAGAATAAGCGTGATAACTAGATGAATGTGAAACGTCATTTCAAATATAAGGACTGTACATAAATAATGATACAATTTGAAAGGGACTGGGGCTAATCACAAATTACGTCCCCACGGTAACTGAAATAAACACGAGTGTTCACCGGTTGGATAATCTGTCAATCTTACTTAGGACCTAATGGAATGTCAGCTAGAATTCGATTAAGCTGAACATTACATTAGGTCCTACACGGTAACCGCAAAATACCCAATAATGACAACAAAGTAAGCATTTTCGAGGGAGACTGGGACTACCCACTAAATGAGTAAAAATATTACCCATTTATGAGTATTTTTTACTCAAAAATAAATACTACATGTAGTCATTATTGGGTATTTTGCGGTTACCGTGTAAGTAACATTGATCGATTCTCCACGTACACTCAAAAATGTAAATAAACAAGGAAAGTTTAAAATTTCAACATTATAGATAGAAATTATCCTCGGAATTCGCTTGAAATCTTGCTTAAAATCCCTTTGGAATTTCTCTCAAAATTTGATTTTCTCGGTATTCTTTTTAAAATGATCTTGGAACTATCTGCAAGATGCACTAGAAATTATCCGTCTTTGAATTCTCCCCAGAAATATTTTGGAATTCCCGCATAAATCACAACCATAAGGTTACCACATTGAAAATGGTTTATCTTCCTGTGAAAACCATAATGAGAATGGTTCAGTCAACTTTAATCGAACCATACCTAGATAAAGTTTTGACCATATTGATTAAGGTTTTCGAAGACCTAACCATACGAATAATGGGTGGTTAAGAACGTTCACCATACGAAATCTCACTTTTTCCCATACATTTTTTGCAGAGAAACTATAGCCTAACCACATCAGAAAAGGTTCAAGTTGGAAATGTGAAACCTATTTCCATTAATGTTCGAATAAGGTAGTACGTTTTAGAACCAACCATTGTTGTTAACTTCAATATATACTATGAACGGGTAGAAACGACCATACTTATTGACGTTATAATACTGTCGTAGTTTATGTGGAATTCAGCAGATATTGTTTGTTCTTTAATTTTAATGTGGTTTACAAGATTGCTTTTTGTGAATACCTCTCCCTTCACTTGGGAATTGTTTTTATTGTTCTTCATATAAACAGAGCACTAAAAGAAATACACCCTGAAATACGAACCTTCATTCTATTTGAACCTGCTTCGATTTCCTGTTTGGGTTAATGTGAGCCAGAAGAATCAAAATTTCCAACCCATGTAGACCGCTGTTTCTTATCCATGATGGCTGGGATTGTCAAAGGCCCTAGATATTTTTATAGGAAATTCATGCTTTTTTAGAAATACTTTATACTTTAAGCTGGTATTACTTACGTTATTCATTTTTCTCTACGATAAAACAGGTTTTCCATTTGGAGTAAAGTTTTAAAAATAAAATAATAAAGCATAAAAAACACCGTGAACTCATGGCCGCCGTTCCAAAGAAAAGCATTTTCCTCTGTTTGTGCCAGTTGTAAAAACATAAAGCAACCATAAGCGAAACACGTAAGCATTGTACAAGTTGTATACAACTTTTATTCGTAATGTTTTGAAACAGTTCAATATAGTTTCGTAAAGTTGATCAACCTTAACAAAATGTAGCTGGAACATACCAGAAACTGTAACAGTATAAATTAATGTTTCTTTTCTGTTTATTACATTCCATAAACCATAACAAAACTATTTTGTATAAAGTTAATATAGTTAGTAAGGTTTCAGTGAAGTTTGAACTATTCTAGAAATGGTTCTTTTCTATGCGGGTTGTCATAAGAATTAAATATCCTTGAGGTTCTTCTCGGAATATTTCAGAATTTTTTTTCTTTCTCGCAACACCTTGGAACTGAAATTCTCCTAAAGTTTCAGAAGAATTTCCTCTGCATTCTCCAGAAATTGTTCCCAGAATGAGTTGAAATTATCCTCGGAATTCCCTTGACATTTTTCTCAACATCCCTTTGGAATTTCATTCAAAATCTGATTCTCTCGGTATTCTTTTCGAAGTTATCTTGGAACTATCTGCAGCATTCACTAGAAATTATTCGCAGAGTTTTCATGGAATCATCCCAGAAATCTTTTCTTTTAGAACTGTCCTCAGAATTCAATACCCTTAAGGTTCTTCTCAGAAGTCAAGTTTAAGTTGCCCGCCCATTCACCAAACTGTTGTTATTTTTCTACCAGAAATTTTCAATTCAGCTTGCCTCTCCATGCAGCAGATTGTTGTAAATCTTACACCAGAAATTTTCAATACTAACTTGCCCTATACAATTTTACACCAGAAAATATAAATTGATCAGAACGATGCAAATTTTCCACCGTTAATGTTCAATAAAAATTAATTTTTTTGCATAAGCGCATTTTTATGACCGTTACCGCACTTCCAACACTTCTTTGTTCATTTTGGAGATTTTTCGAAGAAGAAAAATACAGATGAAAAGATTTTTATAAGCAACAATACAGATTTGCTTTTGGCAACCCTGAGCTGCGGATGTTGCTTCTTCTTATTTCCGGAGTGATTTGAGATTTGGGCGTAATTGCTTTTGAAAACAAACACGTCAATTACTGATTTCTCTTGAATAAAAGCTCAATCTCACAAACAACCTACCTCATAGTGTTATTACTTTTCGAGATTGAGCTTTTATTCGAGAGAAATCGGTGATTGACGTGTTTTTTTTACAAATGCAATTACGCCAAAATCTCAAATCACTCTGGATTTGTGAAATGTCGATGCATGCTAAGATTTCTGTGAATCAGCAATATATTAAATAGTTTATCGTGGTAGTAGTATCAGTATCGAACGTTTTGTCTTTATCGTTGGTTGCTTTTGCTTTATGTGTTTTGGTTTCGCTGATTGTCGGTGCATATAGAACTGAAAATGGTATTTAAATGGAACGTTGCACAAATCTGGCATTAGTTCTACTCGTTGCCTTCAGGTCTGCGCATTCAATCTAATTGTTAAACTTTGTAGTTGGTGAGTCAAAAATTCAGAATTTGAATTTAAGGGTTGGTTTCATCCCTGCACTTAAATCATAAACCAGGTTTACCCTAAGTAGCGGTTAAACCTGGTATATGTTTAAACCTCAGGTGATTAAATCGGCCCTGAACAATTAAAACTGTAATGGCGTATTACGTATTACTTCCTTTGTATTGTATGTGGCAATAACAATTATTTTTGTTTTATTTTTCCAGAAATTCGCCGTCCACAATGCCAAACAAAGCCGATGCCCAATCCCGAGCGGATGCCATCCGCACAAATGTTCAAGCAGCCCACGTTCAAGGAGCGAAGGGAGACGCCCGGGCCGCAGCGGTACAACAAGGCGTCCAACAAGCAAATGCTGCAAAAGGGCAAAAGTGATTCACTTCATTAAGTTTGAAATAAAATATAATAGGATTTCCCCTATTTCATAAAAGCTTGTGTTGGTTTAGATTTGACAAATTTGTCATATGGTTGAGAGAAATTTCATCGGACCTCACTGCACTTCGACATCCTAAGCTAAAGCCCTAACTAGAGCAATTTCACGGTTTGGTGCTGTGGGCGGTCCGTACCCCACTCTTTATTGTGTACTCTCCTTGTCGGTGGTTTCCTGATGGCAGATCGCATCTTCACAAGTGTAACTTTTTTACAGTAATCGACAATCACTTATCAGCTAAAGCGTTCGGTATTCATTATACGTATTCAAAAAGCGCATCGTATTCGTAAGTACATACACAGCTGGTAAAATGCTGGCCATAAGATGAGCGAATACTTTTAAAAGCCGTAAAGTACTGTTCTTAAGTGTTGACCAAATATT